TCAGCAGATGGCCTCTCACACTGAGCCTGGTTCTGCTGGAGGTTTCTTCCTGTTAAAAGGGAGTTTTTCCTCTCCACTGTCACTACTAGCATGCTTGGTGTGAGGGATCGCCTTCGAGTCAATTAGTCTATGCAATCAACTGGTTTTCCTTACAGTAGATAGAAAACTTTAAATCAATTTGACTGTATGATCTGGTCAACTGTAAAGTGCCTCGAGATTACATGTGTTGTGAATTTGAGCTATATAAATAAACTTAACTAAACTGAACTTTTCTGTCACATGAAATGTTTCCAATATAACCTTTTTAATGTGAAAAAAAAATTTATAAAGTAGATGTAAGATGTGATTTTTCCCCCTGATGATTTTACTGAAGACAGAAAAAAAAATCTAATCATGGTGGTCCTATCAAGAATTGTAAGGGCACCTTTAGAATAATTGGTTATGCAAAACTTAATGTTCCGTTCATCTCATTCTTCCATGTCCTGCTGCAGCAAAGCTTCACATCCCATTGGATGGGTTAAATGCAGAGGTAAATTTCTCCAATTTGAGATCAATAAAGTTAAATTATTATTAACATTAAGTTCCACCATTTTCTTTTTAAATACTTCCTCGTAAGTCCTGGGCATCATCAATATACTTTCTGAGAAACGCATAATGTACATTTAAATGCAATATTCAGTATCTTAATGGTTAAATCCTAAACTTCAGAACACCTCACATTGTACCTCCTACCTCCCGTTCCATGCTCCTTTCCCTTCACCTTTCACAGGGTCAACAGTAAGAGCACCATCCAGGGTAGGAAAAGAGCTCCTGACTACTGTGCTGAATCCAGACAGCCTTCAGTCTTATGGACATCATTGTAATGATGCAGTAATGTTGGTGTGTGCCCTTACAGGGACACATAAAGGATCGTGGGCAACCTTATAGCTCCTAGAGGCTCCTAGGATCATGATGAGGTCCCAATGCTAACTGCATCGGCTCTGAGAAGCATACTGATTCCTGGTCCTAGGTCCTTCCTAACTGCCAGCACTTTTTAGATAGGAATTAATTAGCTAGCTGACTAAACGCACTGTTCTGACATTGTTAAAGAGTCCTTACCAATTTGAGGTGTTTGGATGGAGCCGTTGACTTTAATTGACACATGTGATCCTATTGAGTTTCAGATGTTTTTGTTTTTGTTATTTCCTGCATGCATTTTTGATTTGCTCTTGACGTCATTGACCATCACCTTCTGAGCCACATTCATCAGTGTTAGTGAATCAGTGATTTACTAGCGTCTGAATGCTTACAAGAGACTATTAAGATTTTGGCTTAAGAAATTCAGTTTACCTCTTAGACAAAAACAATTGCTAATTCATACTAGAGAATTTACTACTTTTTCCCATTTGATCAGGTTGATGATGATAGTTTAATCCCTTTAACAAATCATCCTTTTGTATTTATTAAGATTTTCTTTTTATATATTTATTTGGTCATTTAAAATATTGACTTTCCTTTGTGACTGTGCTGGGTAGTCCAAATATGTTGTAATGCTTGGTTAGTGGTCTCAGATTTAATCAAATGCCACCTTTCAGACACAAATATACAGTAACTCACAGTGATTTCCATGATATTAATCAGAAATCAATTTGTTGAAGTTCCCAAAAACAGGAAAAACATTCAATTGTTGTTTAGGAAAGCCCATTAAAACCATAGTAGTGACCAAAGTACGTGAGAATAATGGTTGATTTTAGATTTTAAGTAAAAAGACAAACAGAAAAAAGCTATTATTCATAATATGCTAAGAAGATTCATTTTAAGTCTTCAACAAAATGAAGTCAGCTAGATTCCTTAATAATACTATAATTCATATAAATAAAAATAATTGACTCAAGATTGATTCAGTTTTTTGTTTTATTTATTTTCATTTTTGGTATTCATAGAATTTATTAGCTCCTCCATGAAACACATTTAGATGTAACAATAATTGTATTTTTAATGCAAATATCTTGTATTATTAATGATGAATATTATTATACTATACATATAATTTTGTGATTATGCCCATAAAGGTTTATGAAGAGGTGACATTTACTTTAACTTCTTTTCGATCAACATTTTATTAAGGTTTTTAAGAAGCAAATCCCCCTTTGGATAGAAATTTGTTTGATAACATTGTTTCCAAACTTTTATCAAATCAGAGGTGGGATAAATTAAGCATAAAAATACATATAGGTACATGAACGCATCGGGGTTTGTTTTACTTTAGCTTTGCTGAAAGGTATAAGTAAAAATCATTGGATAAATGTTTTTCTTTCATCTGTTCTCTCCATTTTCTTCCCAATCTGCAATAAAAAGCAAAATACAAAGAATTATAAAAAGCACATACAGTAAAGCCATGATGCATTAGCTTGAAATGTCCTGATCTCTAGTTCAATGCAAATAGATGTCAAAGAATAGATCACAGAATAATGATCCAATTTTTATAATTGCCCCAAAGCTTCTTTAACTCAGTGTGATGTCAACTTTCTATGCAATGATTGCTTACTTTCTACAATTTTCTTGTTATTGTCACAACTGAATGTTGCAGATCATTAAACTGATGTTGATCTGATAGCCAGGGCCTGGTACCGGGCCCAGCTGACACCTGTTCATGTTTATCTATTTATAGAAATGGCCAAAACACAGTCACATGGTGTTTCATCCACATGCCTTTTAAATGGGGCTTTAACATTTATAAAACATGTTTCAAAATTATTACAAGAATTTTTTGTTTCATAGCTATGCAAACAAATAAAATGAGATTTAAAATTCTAGCTGACATGTCTGACTCTGCTGGAGTAATGCAACAGCAGGTATTCATTTTTCGCCCCGCCCCCTAATGGTCACGATCATTGGAAACTAGAGGCTCAGCCTTTCCAAGGAGGGGTCAGAGGTAATTGTGAAACCATTTCAGCGGATGTAACATGCTTTACATAAGCTTGCTATGTTATTCTTATTTTCTATTCAGCTTGGTGATATTATTGGTAAATTTCAATGAAACAACAGCTAAATCTCAGGAGAAAAGGCTTTACCTTATGCAGAAGGTCCTCAATAATGTAAATCAGCATATTTGTTTGCCCAGATTCCCTTTTATAAGTGGAAAAATGCATTTTTGGACCAAACATGCTTCAATTATTCAGTCCAAATTTGCCTGAGTTATAGTCAAGCTATGGATCTATAAAGTCTGAGGGTTCCATCAAAATTTCAAATGGGGTTTCATGGTGTTTTGGAGTGTTTATTTTGGAGAAGAAAAAAAAAAATGGCGAGGCTAAATATTTTTTTTTTTTTATCTGTTTAATCACCTATAAATGAGAAATGTCTTGGTGAATTTTAAACTTAGTGGTTCCATCTGAAAAATATTCCTCAATGCCTTTCTGTCACACAAATACAAACAATTGTATTTCCAATGTATAGTTTGGGAGCTGTACGTCCTTTAATTCACATATCTAAATTCAGGTAGAATTTGCCCCTAAGACCCACTGGGCTTAAGGGGTTGAAAATAACTAGTGGTTTTAAAGTTGTAATTTTACTGAGAGAAAGATCAAAGGTATCCAAACCAGCTCTATGTGGAAAGCAGCTGCTGCACAAATAAACCTGAGCTGTAGAATTAAGAGAGAAATTCAGTATAACCCAGAGCTGTAAAGTAACTCAATACCTGTACTTAATTTATTTACGTTATATTTACCTGAGTGACCATTTGAAAAAAAAAGAAAAGTACTTTCAGGAGTTGTTTTACAGCATTGTGCTTTTTACTTAAGGAAAAATATGAAAAAATAACACTATTCCTACTCAAGTAAAATTTCTGGTTGCTCCATCCATTGTAAGGAACTTAACAAAAACAAGCTTGTTTTAAACAAATTTGCACCATTGAGACACAATGCTATTGAATGCTCTTTTCCTACTTCTGAGCTACTGAGTCTGCTGTGTCGTTTGGAGGTTGGGTAATATTACATTGAAGTGTATACTGTAATTTACATACGGTAACTACTAGTTTTGAACATTTTATAACAAAAAGTAATAAGTCTGTTATGATCATAGGTAGTTTGTAGATCAGTTACTCTGTGCTTCAGCTGCCTTTTTACCAAA